AGAACGTTGAGTACCTGGAAAAGATAGGAGATTAGAGCGTTTTAAAGCGGGGTCTTGAAACTAACCCGCTCAGGTTTGCTCGCGTTCGGGCCGGAGCTCAACAGGGTGGTCTTACAGTGGCGGAGAAATCAACGATCTCGCTCAACTCCGGTACCCACTCACTTTCGCGCGGCCGAATCTCTCGATGGCGCTCCTCCAGAAGGCTGTGGCGGAGTACATTATAGTATTTAATGTGCTCTTTAATATGGTAGTAAAAATGTCCGATAAAAATTTAATAAAGTGTAACTTATAGCGCCTTGAAAGTCATGGAGGCAAAATGACTTTTTTTTCCCCCCCCCTGTAGGTCACAGAACACAATATGTAAAATTCTCTTTCTAGAGCGTATCAAGATCAAACGTGCTGTTGGGCTTGTATTCCTTGCGACACGGCCACGAGTATCATCATCAATGTTACGAGGTTTGTTTTTCGTGTATTTCCACAAAATAAAATCATTAATATAAAAATAATAGTTTATTCGCGATGACGGATATAAAGAGAACGCGGTTCGGCTTGCTTGGGGCACCGTGGTACTCAGCGAAGTTCATACAGGTCACTTGATGAGGACTTCTAAATTCCTGTAGCTAAACCGGCTTATGGTTAGCTGTACCATTCCACATCTTTGCAAGAGTCTAAAAGTCTCAGCGAGGTGAGACCTTAGCGTCAGCATGAAAGGAGCTGACTGAAATGCAAAATGCTTTCCCTACGCCGAGCAGCGTCTAAAAAGAGAGGTCTTTCAGGTCGTGGCGCGCTTTTTGGAAATGGTTTGTTGCTTGTTGTAGGGGTCCATACAAGGATCCAAGGTCCATACCAGGTCCATACAACAAAATGGGTTTCATTTTTTGCCTATGCGTTTCTGGGAGGCCAAAAACTGAGTGAAAACAATTTGACAAGAAAGGGCTATTTTACCCGTCTTATTGAGCTCTGTTGTGGCTGTAACTTTGAGAGTGCATAGTTTATGAGTTGCTCCTTTACTATTAGGTTGTTGCATAAGTTCTTATACACGACTTTTGTAAATATCTCAAAAACGAACCAGCCTGGAGATTAGAGGTATGCACCATCACCATTCACTACTCGACGCCAGCGCTCAGGCAGCTTGTCGATTCCATCCTTCCAGAACGACGGAGGCTGGGACTTGAAGAAGTCGTCGAGCGCCTTTCTGACCTGATCCTTTGTTTCGAACTTTTTTCCGTCCAGATAGCGCTGCAGGTGGCTGAACAGCCAGTAGTCAGAAGGAGCGAGGTCAGGGCTGTAGGGAGGGTGGGCGACCATCCGTACTTCTCCAGCTCGGCCTGGGTCGCCTTTGCAGTGTGAGGTCGGGCGTTGTCATGGTGGAAGTAGATTTCCGCATTCCTTCCACGAGTACGGTCGACGTGATCTTTCAATTTCCGCAGCTGGGTCACGTATGTGGAAGCAGTCATCGGTCTGTCTCTTCTCCAGACCAAGCTCCAGTACTTAATGACCTCTTCTGGCCCCAACAGACAGGAGAACTTTGCGGCATGAACCGGCCGGCGCCTTTGGGGTGGCTTCTGGCTGTTCTCCTTTGTCGACCCACTGCCGCTTCCTCACAGGGTTATCGTAGAGGACCCACTTCTCATCTCCAGTGATCATCGAGTTGAGAAAGTGAAGCCTCTTTTGGAAAGTGAGGAGAGAAGTGCAGGTGGTCACCCTCCTCGAGAGGTCATAAGCGGACAGTTCATGTGGGACCCATCGACCAAGCTTTGCTACCTTGCCGAGCTTTTCTAGTCCACGTGCAACCGTCGAATGATCATAGCTAAGCATGGTCGCCATTTCTCTGGTGGTGAGGTACGGGTCCTCCTCCACGGTGGAACGTAGTACTTCCAAATCCAACTCCATCGGCCGACCCGACCTCGGAGCATCTTCCGAGAAAAATATTCTTTCTTAATTTGGCGAACCAATTCTTGCATGTCATGTAAGAGATGACGTCCTCACCGTATGTATCCACCAGCTTGTATGGGCTTCCTTTGCATTCCAGCCGAAATCGTGGAGCAAAACCAAACAGTGGCGCAGGTACATTCTTGTCACAGTGGTAATTGTGCGACATTGTGTACTGCAAATGCAAGCTCGGTGAGTGATAGCTAGTGTAATGAAAGAGTATAATGTACACGTCACGCACACGTGATGACGTAATACCAACATCCATGCGAACGAAATAGGAGAGGATCAAACACGTGTATAAGAACTTATGCAACAACCTAATATGTATCGAAAAAAGAGCAAAATGGAGAGAAGTGGTACCAAAGTACTCCAACGATTCCCGCAATCACTGTTTCATGGTCGACGGATGGAGGAGTGGATAGTGCGGTGGGCTATCGAGAAGGGTTTTGCGGATTGGATCCTCTGCGCGCTTACTTCTTTGCATTTTTCGGATAGTTTTTGCACTTCCGTCTCCGTTGTGATCCTGCGTGCGTGATGATGTATATAACATGGATATATGCCATTAAAAGACCTCATTCTGTACACTTCAAGTTCACGAGTGGATCCCGAAACTCTTGCTGAAAACTGGGCTACGGGGATGACTGGATGCCCTACTCATGAGTACGACACTCATTCTTGACCACGGCAGCAACTTATCGCACGATTTGCTGCAATGCTTCTTGCCAACTGAAGTCGTTGTTAACCAGCACGCAGGGGCTGTTAAGCGCCATGCTAGCGTCAAATGGCCTCGGCGCATAAAATAAATGTCAGAATCGTAAAGGGGCTACCAATTCCTCCTGTATACGAACTTCCAGCAAAAAAATGTTCGGAGGTTTTGATGATAATGGACCAACCACTTGGTTAGGCAGTGACACCCGATCAGCGCACCCAGCGTAACTGGTTCCACTTTAACTTTCCAGGGTGTAGATATTGTGCAATACATATGCATGTCCCTTTTTAAATTTGTAGTTGTTAGTTATGAGAGGTATATACTAGTAAAGAGAATCAGAAGACCAACCATCATAGCTCGAACAGCTCGAGGAGAAAAATTCCGCCGAAAGCCTATATATAGATGTTATTATCGGCATTGATCACGGTTCTGACCTTTATAATTGGCGCTGGCGCCAATGTGGCTCTGAATACCCCTCCCCCTAAGTGCGGGTTGGGATGCTGCGAGAATCACTTGAGAAACTAAATGATAGTGTACTCATTGTGGGCCAAATAAAGTCCTTTTCACATTGCTTATTGCTTGATATTATAAAATCTATTGATGCCAATGTTGACGAAGGTCTCATTTGCTATGCCCACACTCAACCTGTAGAAATAGAAAAGAACTGGAAAGTGGTTCAATGTTTTCACCGCTCATGCTGCTCCTAACCACCTCCCTCGTAACTCCAGCTTCCCTCAGCTCTCCTCACCCTCCCCTCCCTCCCCGTGTCTGCTGTACCCCTCACCCTTTCCCCACCTCCCCCTGTCCATCTTCCCACAATCCGCTGGCTCTTTCCATATTCCTCGAACCTGCCCCTTCGTTATCCATCCGACCTACGTGCATCTTTCCCTCTCCACCCTACACTCCATCGCTCAACGCCCGTCCATCCCTACCCCCTTGCTATATCTTTTCCTCCAATCCTCCTCACATCCCACTTCTTCCTATCTTCCTCCTACCACCCCCCATCTCTCCTTCAATATCCCTCCTTCCCCCCTGCCCCCCTTCTCGCTCACCGCCTCTCCCTTTTCTCACATCGTCCTACTAGCCTATCACCGTACGCCTCCCTACATTCTCCTTACCCCGATTCGGCACTCCGTTCTCACTGTGCTTATTCACGCTACTTGCTTGCCCCTTCCTTTGCCTCACGCTCTCGAGCTTCTCCTTTATTATCTACATACTTTCGGCAAATCTTCTACTCCCCTCTATCCCCCTCTCTAGCCGGTAGCTCCCTGTCAGTCCACCCCCTTCCTGCCTCCTTACCTCAGCAACCCCCACATCCTCCCGTTCATACTTATACCATGAGACATCACTTCTCCGTCCCACCGCACCCAAAATCCACCTCACACCCCCCCTCCCGCCACCTTCTTCATCCCCTCGACCCCCCGCGATTTCTCCCTCCTGTATCTCTCATTCCTCTTCTCCCTCTCTTCCTCCCCGCATCCTCTCTCTCTCCCCCACTCTCCGCTCACTTCTCTCTTCTACTACTCAACACACTCTACGTGCTCCTTTCAGCCTTCACTCCCTTCTTTCACACTTCTAACCCTCATCCTCCTCTTTCGCGGTGCTTCTTACCCGGATCACCCAAGCAAACTTTTCACCCATTTTTTGACCTTCCCAGAAATGCATAGCAAAAACGAAACCCATTTTTGTGATCCTTATATGGACCCCTACAACATGCAACGAACCATTTCTGAAAAGCGCGCCACGATCTGAAAGACCTAACTTGTAAGAGAGATTCCAAATTCGAAGACACGCTAGAGATTGAAGGTACGCACAACTTGTCCATATTAAACTTCCACATTGGTGGTGCGCCCCTTTCTTCTGGAGAAGAAAGAGATGGTGGGAACCACAGTGATTGTGAGCCTTTTTCTTTCTCATTGTCGTGAAGAAAATATATTCAACACTATTTTCCCAGTGAAAGCCAATTTTTTAGTTGTGAACCTGGAACACCCGAAGGCGAATTCCAGATCAACACAAAGTTACTGCGTTCCGATACCACCAGTATCAATGCAGTAAGTGAATTTAAAAGCCTTGAAGTGGCAGATATCCAGATAGCAATTATTATAGATGGCGATGTCTACATGGGCAGTTTAGTTCGGCGCTGGTTAATCTCCAATGCTCGGATGTTGATCGACTGTGTTCGTCGTTGCGTTCTTCTTGTGAGTTCTCCATATCTCCAGTGGTGAGGGGTGTATTCGTGATTTTTCTGGAGATGATTGCCGGTGTCTCGTAGATTTCATTTTGGGTATTATTAGTCTAGCCACAAGGTGGGGGTGGGCTAAATCACGGCAGTCAATCAGGTGGTGTTTTACAGATCATGGCATCTGGACGTGAACTGTGTTACTGTATGATCAGTGGTATATCCATGTGCTATATCCTCACATTCTTCCTCGTTTCACAGCCTACAATTCCAACATGCGCTATTACAAGGGTGAGAATGTTTGCTTTCTTATTCTTCTACTTATTTGTAGTTTATTTCTTGTCGGTAATTAGGATAAAGCTGATAGAAATAATGCCATCCTTCGGGATGTGCCACGCAAGCGACGCCTAAGTCGAAGACAATTGAATGCGCATTTCGAGCGCGTGGAGTTCTTTCCAGCGCGAAGAGGGTCGTGTCAATCGCTGGCGAGGAGGGAGGGCGTATTCAGGTTGCTGGGAAGCAACTGCCTTGGCGAAGGAGTGAGTACGGAAGTGGAAGTTGTATAAAAGCTAGTAATTTTCTGTTTTTCACCGTTTCCCACTCTTCGGGGAGCAGAAATGCTTGAGTTTTCGCTCTCCTGTTAGCTCAGCGCTCCATTTCAAAAAATTGGGGAAAGAGGGAGTTTTCTACCTGTCACACAACGACTACAAACGATTTTCGGTATGGGATTTACATCCTCTAGAAAAATCCTGACAATCGGCGTGATGACCACTACAGGGTGCTGCTGCGGCTCAAAGGCCTGAAATGCGCTTCATCCGATTTCAATTTTGAAAGCGCCACCTGTCCCGCAAAGGTTGCTATTGCACCGCGCTAAACCCGCTATCTCATCTCTTATCCGCTAAACGAAGCATCTGACGATCTCCTTGTGGGAAAGTGGGATTATTATGATGGGAATCCTTTTTCGCCTCTACCTTCGTGCTGAGGCAAAAATCCTTGCTTCACATTGCGGCAACCCCAGTTTTGCATCAGTCCTTTGAAGGCGCGTCCCGTGATCAGAACGCTGGGTTGTGGGGCCCAAATACTGATAATGAGGAGATGGTTCACCGGCGACGAAGAATCGTTCAAACTGCCCAAAATTTAACCTGTTACAATCCGTGTTTGTAAGAGCATACAGCGAAGAGGGTGAGCTTAGGCGAATTTTGTTGGTATCTTAGCGATATCTACACTTTTCCTTCATCCTCTTAATCTCACCGTTTAGAAAGAAGAGAGCTAACAGAAAAACATTTACACCATCGAACTAGCCGTTAGAAATAAACATGGGGTGGGGTTTAGGGCAGTGTGGCGTCTACACATCATGTGAATAGAAAATGTGCCTCAAAACGTTTCTGCTCTGGTGGGATTTACGCTTTAATGTTACTGACGAGCACCTGCGTATCCACAGTCACACGTTGGACCATGTCGACAGTGTCCATGAAAGCTCATTGCACCATTATGAGTTTCGCCACCGCACCCCTGATCCTTTCATTCGAGCCTGAAGATCGAGTATGTGCCAAATTGTTTTACTTGCTTCTGTATTCATCCCTGTCCAACCCGAGAATTTGTCCTAGATTTCACAGCACAGCGGACGAAAGTGACCGACTTAGTAAGAATAGAAGAACTTGATAAGTAATCCTTTAAAAGTACAGCACATTCGCCCTGAATCGCTTGAACGTCTCCTAGTACGTACTGATTTCAGGTGTTGATGGGTCTGTCAATGTCAGCTATCTACGCGGCTATCATCACGAAGACGAATCGACTGGCACGGGTCTTCAAGCCAGACAGCGCTCAACGGCCGCGATTCATCACCCCCAGAGCACAAGTCAGTTATTTGTTGATTTTAGTTATGTAAGTATATACATCTTATTTCCCAAACTGTGAGACATTAGTACAAAGGGTCTCAGTTTCAGACACAGATGACGATCCGAAGATTTCATGGTATGAAGGGGCAAGGAGAGAGGAGAGAGGGAGAGAAAGCAGAAAGGGAGGAGGGAAGAGAGAGAGGAGGTTCTGAAACAAAAGGGTTTGGTTCGTTCTCGGTTCAGAGCCCAGCTTTCTTTGTTATGATCGAGTTCTACTGAACGTAATGGAGAGGGATTAGATTGCTGAACTAGCACTTTCGAAAGGTATGTAAAACTCAATCAGCAGGTGATTGGAACGCTTAAAAGCTCACTTCGCGGAGAACGGATAGGCGGTGATTAACAGCTACTAACCCTCCTTTCTTGGCTAGCTTTTCCTCTTCGCCATGTCACAAGGACGAGGACACTTATAACCAAGGCCCAATTATTTTGAGTCACCGATCTCCGTCCGATCTCCGTATCGTAAAAAGTCCCTCAAGTTATTCCACCTCAATTCGCATTCTAATTTATGGATCGAGAGTGGGATGTCAGCTTCCCTCTCTGCTATCATTGCCTGAGAACTATTCCCTCAGATACCATTCTTCCATCTAGGGATCCTTCAAGCGATATTCTTGAGGGGCTGATCGTTCTGCTCTGAGCGACGCACTCTACGCTTGGTTGTGTGGAGTAGGGCAGCACCTACCTTCGCCTACACGCCTCCCAATGAGAAAGGGATCTTTGCTCAGGCCGTGATTTCCGTTTACCGCGAATCAGCTTGAAGACTTGCTTAAAGCTGAGACCGGTGCGGAATAAGCCGAGTGCTTTGGCCTTGGTTTGGGCGCTGTCGGCAGGTCTGTTAGTTGTCTGCCTTTGCTGGATGGGTGTCGGAGACACTAAATCTTCTAGCCTTGTCACTTGTCGCGCGGTATCCTCTTCCGTGGTCCTAGTGACGCATTGTCATCACTTTTACTATCTACCTTCACCGTCTCTTTGTTGCACTTTGTATGGATCATGCTGTTCCTGGAGATGAGCGCCAGTAATTGGCTTCTTAACTAATTCTGTTATTTCTACATGTAGTTGCCACGCGTCAACGTTAATGAAACCCCTCTATCAGCGGCGAGAACTTTGACATATATATTTCGATAGACTTTTCGAAATTCAAAAATTATTTGTATTCCAATGACTTCTGCCCATTCCACAATTCCAGGTCGGCATATGCGCTTGCATTGTATCTGTGCAACTGATCGGCTCAATCATTTGGTTACTTGTCGATCCGCCCGGGACCAAAATTGTGTTTCCATCTCGAACGGAAGCTGTATTGACGTGCAAAGTGAGAGCGAATTTTCTTCGAATGCTTCATCAAATCTGCCTCCTTACTATCCTTTTTTTTCAGGCGACTGCCTCTCACTTGCTCGTCTCGTTGCTGTATAACCTGTTGCTAATTGTCGCTTGCACGGTGTATGCCTTCAAAACGCGGAAAATTCCGGAGAATTTCAACGAAACTCGACACATCGGTTTCACCATGTACAGCACTTGTATACTATGGCTGTCTTTCGGACCTATTTATTTCGCCACTCAAAATAATTTTCGAGTGAGTACTTGCACCTGCTACCTGAACTGACTCCGTATGTTTCAGCCGCGGGTCTGCCTTCTGGGCACACCATGGTTGATCCCAACGGGGGGGGGGGCTCGTATTTGACCGCGATGGAGGGGGGCTGTGTTTTTCCTTTGAGAGGAATTTGCGGCGTTGGGAAAAAACTTTTTCCGGTTGTTGACTTTTTGCGGTTTTCCCGTTTCACTGGTGTTATATACCCCTGCCTAATTGGCGGAACTGCCAAAGGTTTATACAACTGCTTCCACATATACATCTTTATACGACTGATTTACACAATAAGTGCAGCAATTTAAACAACGCGGTGGCGTCCCCTGTTTACCTTGCACTGGCTAGCACGTCCATGCTGCGGTGGTGCGACAAAAGTAGCGTTGAGTGATGTCACGCGCACAGCATTTGCACCAGAACCTAATTGATTTCACGCGTAGAGAACTCCAGCCAACCGAGCCAACTCGCTAGGACACGTGCCGCTCGCAGCAAGTTGGTTGTCTGAACTCGAACATTGTTCCTTCCACCAGATTGATATCACGCGCGCAAAATCGATCTGTTCAGAACCGAACTACCACAGGTCTTAAAATGCATGAGTAGCCAATTATTTTACGGTTTATTTTGTTAATATTTTCGTTTCAGATTCAAATCACATCACTTTGTATGTGCATTTCGTTATCGGGTACGGTGGCACTTGTGTGCTTTTTTGCTCCAAAGGTGAGTGTGGACTACTAAGGGCTCATTGCTTTGCGCTTTTCCATTTAGGATCCACTCCTTTTCTTGCAATTAGTACTCTTCAACTCACTATATTGCATGTTTGTCTACTTATTTGCTGATTCAGTTATTTCCATACTTACCATTTTAAGGTGTATATTGTATTATTCCAACCGTATAAGAATGTCAGAACGAGGCAATCGGCTGTCGGACGACTAGTGAATCAACAGATGCGGTTCATGAGGTGAGTTATCGAGAGCGTAATTCCCTTTAGAAACCCCTGTACAAAAGTTAATTATCAACCAATATTGGTGTCCATGTCATTGTTTTGTGTGCACGATCTAAACCGTACGACTGCACGAATCCGTGGAAGTGTTCGGCGTGACATGTGATCATGCTGTGACCTTGCCATAACCGAGTAAAAATGGGAACGGTTGTCTCACGAAGATTGACCACTTCATGCAATTTCTATAGGCAAAGGCTCGACAACCTGAGAACAAGCAAAAAAAATGCTAAAAGTAAAGTATACTGTACGCTTCATTGATTCTGACGCCTCACAGGTTTATGTGAGCGAAAAATTTTTAAAACCTTAGTTGACCTAAAGAATCTCCACAACACGAAACTATTACTGATGCTAAGGACACATTCCGCGATAAACGAATCGGTGGAGACCCATAATATGCGTGTGTTTCTTGATGGCGTTCCCATCATCTTCATCGCCTCAAAGGAAAGAGCATAGCAGTAATGATTGCACAGGGGCTCGAGTCTCCGCCCATGCGAACCATCGCGGAATGTGTCTTCAATTGAAAGCAATAGGGAAGGATGCGATAGACTACTTAGCCATATCGAGAGACCAGAGTCTAAGAACACGTCAAATAAAAAAGATTAGTAGACATTATGATATGATATCAAGCTGCAGAAAAAGGAGATGATACATCCGGTTCCCGTGCACGAACGCCCCCGGCGGTTGCACAGATGTCTGCCCGTTGTGCACGGTTTTTAACATTCCTTTTTTTTGCCCACATGACCTTCCCTTCCCTGCTCTTCGTATCCCATTGCAAGATTTATTTATTTTGACAGTTTATTTGTTTTTGTTTTCCCTTTTTGTTTGTTTTTCTCCATCCATCCCTCATGTGAAGTGATGTTTTCAGTCAATTGACGTGCAATCAAGACGGATCTCCTACCTACAAACCTATCATGTCAACCTCATCCAATCCCTCATATCGACCCGGATGTGGGTGGTTTTGTCATGACAAACTTTTCCATGCATTTCTATCCCACCCCTTGTCTCTCGGTTCACTAACCAATCGATAAATATGCCTTTGCTTGGCATGAACTTGGTACAGTATTGATTGGTTGGAGAAGCGTGCAGTACTTTGCGGTGACGTTGTGCAGTGCCCTGAGGTGATTCATCGATTTTCAGCCGAGGAGAATTCGCGAGGCAGTACGCAAGCATCAACGATACACCCGCTCCCTCCCCTTCCATGTATGGAGAAGCTTAGCGAGAACAATTGTGTACCCGTGAAAACGGAGATCGGTAAGAATGGACGGCTTTTTGGTTACTTGTTTGTTGTGTCCCATATATAGCGCATGATACCTGAACCCTTCTTTGTTATTCCTTGCATCCTCCAATCGTGCGCAATTTTTTTGTTATTCCTTGCATCCTCCAATCGTGCGCAATTTTTGGGACACATCTCTAAGTTCTCTCGGGATCATTCATTAGGCTCAAATTAGATCCCGTAGGACCATTTCGTCTATTTCAGGCAAGAAGCACTCTCTTCCGGAAACCACCGAGAACAACTGTCCGGATTTACTAGCGGCGAACGATGTCCGCCGAAGACGTCCTGCGAGTCTATACACAACAATGCCGGACGTTGTTCGACCGCTTCCGATTACGGTGAAAGTGCCTCCAGGAGCGACTGAGTGCGACTCCCAAGTGGCACTCATTCTTGAAGAGATCGCCACCGATCCTCATGTCACATTCCTCTAGCTCACATCGGAGCCATCACTCTCTTTTCTCTTGACGTTGAGCTTCCTACTTCGGCCGATAGGGCCACAAACCTCTATTCAGAAACGGGACATCTTAGAGAGAACTTGAGCAGTCTATTGGGAAATCCGGGCGAAAAGAGGCGAAGCTGGCCCATGAAGTGCCGCGCTTATCACCTTCTTAATTACTAGTTTTATGGAATGGAACCATTTCTCGTCACTATGCGTCGTCGGTACTTGCGTAGCGGGAGTAATTAAACCCTAATCTCTCATCGGTTCGCTCATTTCTTCTGATACAGCTTGAAGTGGATGGTGGCGCGCCATTGAACAAGACCTCCAAGGTTATAGGTCTCCGCCCAATCGACTATCGCGGAACGAGCTTCCTATAATTCTCCCAAATTCCTTGATAACTGACTAGATTCCCCAGTTTTCCATATAGACATTGGTTTTTTATGTGAGCTTCTTCTTGGTAAGAAGATGTCTTATCGACAATCTATCTCAGATTCTATCTAGAACACTTAGCAAATATTGACGGGTGTGGTGTCGCTCAAATTGATGACCAATAATAACCGATCTGTTAAATAATGAAATTATCTCTATCTATCGGTTCCTATCCAGGGTTGTCCATTATGTTATCAATAGTATCGTTCAGAAAGCAACTCAAATCGGTATCCTAAAATGACACCTAGCTATGAGCGCTGTGGTCCCTGGGAGCGAAACCCTCTCGAGCCTGGCAATTTGAATTTCTAGAAATAGATGCAGACCATCTACGGGAAGCAGTGTTAGTTGTAGCAGAGGTCCTTGACCCCTCATGGGTTAAGAGATGATGTTCCAATTAAAATAGACTAGATAGATCCAAGTAGACTCAGTTGTTTTTTGTCAAAAATGCCAAACGCGTCATTGACGTGTTATGTGACGTCAGAGACACGTCACCCAGCTCCAGTCAAGTGACATAAAGGACCGCCTGCCTGCGCAACATCAACACCCTCTTTTGTCAAATTCCGAGGGACCAACGCAAGCAAGAACACCCCCCCCCTCCCTTCACCACTTTGAGTTGCTGAGCTGTTCAAATTTCCTTTCCATAGATTATAGTCGCCTTTGCTATAGGAGGCGTGTTTGTCTCAAAAATCACTTTCCAGTCGATACTCTGGTCAATAGAATCCGGTGCTCAGCGAGCTTTATCACCTATACATACAATAAGTATTCTATTTTTGTACATCGTATGTACCTCATGATGTTCATTACACAGGTGTCTCAAATCCTTCATATCTCCCTCCTCCAGACTCCATTCTCTTTGTGAATCTGACCACGTCATTCTTCATTGTATTATTTTATCACACTTCCCGTGAATACGCGCATTCGAGTGAATTTGGTGCTGCCAAAATAAATTATTTTGACTCAGTATCCCTTGTGGAGACTGTGGATTAAAGCTGTTTTATTATGATAACTGCTGTTCAACGCCGTAATTCGCGCTGCGAAAGTTATCACAAGAATGATGACTTATGGTCAAAAGAAGAACTCGGATTTCGGCATAAAAGCCGCCAAGCTGTGAGAGTAAACTCGGAGCAATGGCGAAACGGATAGCGCACTTCAACTGGAAAACGTCAAGTGTGGGTTCAAGTTCCGCTCAGGGTCAACATTTCTGCCCATAACTCGGCATTCCTGCGATCACTGTGAATAGAACTGTCCCCCCCCCACACACACACACGCAATTCACAGTGCAGTTCAAGCTGGTCGTGTGTGGAGTCCGTTCTAGCATTGTGCCCTCCTCATTGGTGCACTCTCACTTCTTAAAAGACGAAGAAAAAGGGGCGTCAGTAGGGAGCCACAAGAGGTCGTAGTAAGCCTGATTCCGTTCACAAGGCTAGAGTGAACTTGTTTTCAACCCCCGAGAGCAACATTTATTAATGATACGAAGTTCAACTTCGGGTTTTTTCATCTGAATACAGTCAGGTTTTCATGCTGAATACAGTACTAATACAGTCTTGTTCGCTGCATATGAAGGGGCGTGTCAGTGAGGCTGAGTTTGTCGCGCCACCTGCTCGTTCTCCACCAATCGTTGAAGCGGGTGAGCGACAACTGGTGTGAAACGAATGATAAACGATATGATACGCACTTGTCGTTTGCTCGCTTTACAACGGGTAGAAAACGGGGTTGGCAAACCTACCCCCACTTATATGCCCCGACATCCGCAGCGAAGGAAAACTGTAAGGAAATCAGAGAACTCAAAGATGGGTTGCGCAAGCGGAGAGAGTTGTCGAGGTTGGAAGAGTAGACAGTCTGTACAAAGCAGGCTATCACTGGAAGTTTTCCTCCATCATTCATTTTCTTACAGTGGTGGTGATGTAGCTGGAAGTGATGCGCTTATCACGCGTTGGTCCGGATGGACGAACTCCAGGGCCAATCAAGCCAGAGAAACCTTGGACGAACTCTCGGCGATGAGATGAATTTCTTTTTTTAGAACTCGATTTCAATCACACCTTCCCGGTTCATGCCCATCTCGCACCATGTCATGAGGCGGTCGTCGGCACGGGAGACGCGATTCGCTGCACTCGTCTAACCGTGACTAAGACCGTGATCAAGTGCGTGTGCCATTTGGTATGCAGGTCCACGCTCGCAAAAAGTGTACTGTCACTCAAAAGGGCAAGATGAACAGACACAGACGACTGACCCTTCGAGCTTTGTAATTTCAAACCTGTAAGACACCAACTTACGCACTGAATTACGTGCATAATTTCTGCTGTCTGCAGCGACGTAAGACGAGCTCATGTTATCGTCGCACAGAATGGTGGCTTGATGACTCTTTCGCGAGCTCACAAATGTTCTGCTCTCCCGTGATACCGTTCTTGAAAACAAGCAGGCTGTGGCAGTTTAGCATGCAAGGTAAGATGTGTTTCGGCGCTGCTTGAATGCCAAGAACTGTGTTCGTGCAAGAGCTCGTCGTCCATTGCTTAGCGTAATCCTAAGTTCGTATAGAGAGTTTTCGAGTGCTATTTTTGCTATTTTCTGTGAAGGAACTTGTTGCAGTGCCTTCCTTTTTATATGTTGTTGTAACGTCTTTTAAAAATCTGCTTTGACGAGGTTCGTTGGAAGGCTTTGTATTGGCTGACGTTCGGCGGGCTTACCGCCCTTTTGTCGGAGCCCGGAAAGGGTCAGCCGAATTCATGATATCCGAACTAGCATCAAACGCACGCCTCACCCTTTCGACCCCACTAAGTCCAGCACGTATACGAGTGAAACACCTAACGCACCTCAACCGGATCCACCGGATGAAACCAAGAGCTTCCCGGTGATGGAAGCTTTCAAACTGAGACTATCTAGAGCCTTAAAATGCTAATCTTAGAAGAGAGCTCTCGTGTGATTGATAAGCATTATCCCCTCTGTTTTGTTCTTGGATTCCTGACCTGAATCCAGAATGCTTCAAGATTTTTTCGCGCGAAAAGCTGGTCTTCGCGCTCTGAAAATCTCTACCGTGACTCCAAAATCGTCTCCGTTGTTGTCTTGTCTTGCTTTTTGTTTCCTTTTTCTTCAAGTGTTGAACAGGATTTAGTGCTGTATGATGCAAAGAAACGATCTATGAACCAGGGCTAGCACGGAGGCCAGCAATTGTAGGCAGCGTTCATACTTCGCGACAGCAGCGGCGATCGCGGCGACCTCGGCGATCGCCGCGATCGTCGGTACATGGCAGAGCGCGCCCCAACGCTATTACTTGGACCGCTCCGAAGGCTTTTAGGGAGAAGCGACTCAATTTCATGCTTTTTTCCTTTAACTGCAATTTTCTTAGGTACTGAAGCTTGGTTTGACACAAAGAAAGGTGAACCCAACTTAATGGCTTTTGTTTTCTATTTTCTTTCTTGATTCAGGATAGAAATGAGCAAAAAGCGTGAGAGCTTCATTTAGGGTAGGTTTTTATTGTTTCTTTTTTCATTCGAGCTTATACATGAGGTTATAAAGTTTTCACTGTTGATGTTGCGTAAAATGATCAGTGTTTTGGTTCCTAGGTGAGTTTCTTTCTGTTTCTTTTTTTTTCTTCGTTGTTTGAACTCGACTTGTTAACTATAAATGTTTCGTAAGTCGGAACAGTTCAGACGATAGGATCTTCTAAGGCGCTTTCATACAATATGATGAAACAATAAAAAAAAGAAACAAAAGAAGCTCACCCAGGAAATGGAGTTGGCCTTATCCCGACCTAAAAAGAAGTGAAACCTCCTTACCTCATATTCCAGATCCGCTTATGTAGAAAGTCGTAAGTTATCAGTTAGTAGC